GCCAGAATTCTGTCAGTCTCCTGACAATATATTTCCAGCATGATTAAAATAAAAAAACAAAAAACAAAACCAAAAAAAAACCCAACCCAAACAACCAAAACCCAACTAAATTAAATCCCTATCTTTTTATTCTTTAATGTCATTCATTTATGCAGTTACACAACAAAGACCATTTTATTATTTGTCCCAGAACAATGTTCTGTGACAACAATTTCTGCACATTTTGCAGTGACAGTTCTAGTAGTACAGTCCCATAAACGTCATACTGTAATTCACTGCCTTTTTCTAGTCAACCCTCATAAGCATAGATATCAGTCATATTCACAGCAGAGTCTGCTCTCAACACAGATTAAAGGATTTGCCACAAGATGACAACAGTCAAATGCTCCTCACAGCACAAGGGGGAACTATGAGTTCATTCCTGTGTACGTGTGTGCCTCTGTGTAAATCCAACTTTTCCACGTTATCTCTCGTTCACAGATACTTCAATATGTGTAATCCTTTATTTCACGTAGTCACTCATGTGAGTATACAGATATTCTGCCTATCCCTTACTATCTCTATCACAGGCTGATATATCCCTATCCCACAGCCTAATGGGAGGATGCAGGCTACAGATGGCTAAGTGCTTTTCAGAGCACATTAATTAGCAATTGAAAAGTGACTGTGGTTATTTGAAAGTATTTCATTAAGGCTTCTGCAGCCAGTCATAATTTTTAATCAACATGTTTAAAGAGTAAAGCAATTTCTCCTCAAACTTACTACACAAAGAAAGTAACAGCAAGATGTCAAACTCAATTAGGTAACCAAGGACAAATCTGATAATCACTTTAGGACTCTAGTCCAATACACTGCCAGAGCAAGCCCGGATAGCTTAATCTTCAGCAGTGCTTTCCCATGTTCAAGGCAGAGTCATAGCAGAGACCATATCCATTGCTTCAGGGCTCCTGTGGCCTGAATTTCCATTTCAACAGAGCTGAACTGGGAAACAGGCCTTAAGGAGCACCCAGATGCAGCTCTAGTGTTCTATTGTAGAAAACATTCATTAAAGCTGGACTCTAGGAGAGGCAAATCTAGTATACATTCTAGTACTCCTCTTGTGAAACCCTTCAGTTTGGCTGTTGAACCTTACACCAACAGGTTTTACTTGGTTTACTGTGCCCAGCTGTGGGGTAGTACTCCCTTCCCTCCTATAAATCAGAGAGCCTTCCAGTCTCATGTGGAGGGTCCAAGCTCAAGACAACTCCACCTGCTTCTTCAAGTCTGACAACATTCTTTTTTGGGAGCTGGTTTTCACACAACCAACAGACACTGAGGCCTTGAGGTCTCATTCAGTCTTCTTTGAGACCACACAGCTGATAGAGGACTTGGTGCTCTACCCTGGCAATTCTCCTACCTTGTGAGAAGGGGGTATGTTCTTAGAAACAACACAGAAAAGAAAGCAGAAAGTCACGAGACTTGACAGAGGTGGAGAAGCTGAGAGATATTATACTTAAGATCTAGTAAACCTTTCGATTTCAGATATTTCTAGGAGGCCTTTGTTCTCTTCCTCTCTTTTGCTTCTGGCAAGAAATGTAACCAAGGATGTGCTTTTGTGAATCACAAGTAATCTACTATTTGAACAGACACATCAGCTCAAGGACACACAACAGTAGCAGTGGCCTCAAAACCCAACCCCCTCCCTTTGGTTACAAGAAGCCAAGAGAAGGTGCTATGTGCTTTAATGGGAATCAAACAACATGAACACGTTTCTCCCAAGCAAAGGATCGCGGGACAATCTTGTTCAGTAAGGCTTTCAAAGCACTGTGCAATAGCCCATGGTGAATACATCATGCCTAGTTTCCATTGCACTTGCACATCTCCTAGCACTGACAAAAACCACCAAGCACGCAGGCGCTAGGGACAGACAGACTTCAAGTACAAGGGGTACTGCAAATAACTAAGGATAGCAGTCCTCCAGTTCTGTCAGAGAATAAAAGCCATTGCTGCTCTTATGCCTCTGCAGACTACTTAAGACCTGCTGTGTAGCACACAGTGGTCTCTGACAGGGAGAGCCTGAAGACAGGCACACTTGGGTCTGCTACCATTTGGAGTGGATCAGTCTGGACAGCACTTGATCTAGAGACCTTTAGGGTCCCATAGGCAGCCTTGAGGCATTGCTGATATAGTTCTGGCATTTCAGCTCACAAAGTCACAATTCAGTCACAGTCCAATATATTAAGTCATGGCATATGATTTTTGAATCAAAACATTAAAGAGGTAGGATTAAGGGGGTTTTGCAATAGAACCTGGATTCACTTGGTAGGTAATGCAGTTAATTTGTGCCTTATGGGGATTTGATTTTGGGTGAGAATAGCCAATAAATTAAACTATATGGTATCAACTGCTACATAACACTGTATACATTGTCACTTTGGTTGTATGCCTATGGTGGCTCTATGTCCATCACTGGACACTGGGCATCTCATGGCATCTGTCTCCAGATCTGAGAACTGGAACCCATGTCCCTTTGATTAATGAAGAATTAACCAGAAAAGTGCAGAGGTGATGGAATCAGAACTGGCTTCAGTATTCAGCAATCCAGCACCACAAACCATGTTTCCTGCCCCAAAAAGACTGTTATAACCCAATCATGTTGTTATAGCCCAACATCATGGACTCAATGAACTCAACAAACCTTTATAAGGGCAGTCCAGGGACTATGGGAATGATATCTCTGTGTGTTTACATGTGCATATAGACAGGGTGCTGACTGACGGAGCTGAACATGAGCCAGCTTGTGCCCAGGCAGCCAAGACAGCCAACGGCATCCTGGGCTCTATCAGCAATAGTGTGGCCAGAAGGGCCAGGACAGTGATCATCCCCTGTACTGGGCACTGGTGAGGCCGCAATTCGAATCCTGTGTTCAGTTCTGGGCCCCTCACTACCAGAGAGACATTGAGGTGCTGGAGCAGCTCCAGAGAAGGGCAACGAAGCTGGTGAAGGGCCTGGAGTACAAGTCTGATGAGGAACGGCTGAGGGAACTGGGGGTGTTTAGTCTGCAGAAGAGAAGGCTCAGGGGGACCTTACTGCTCTCTACAACTGCCTGAAAGGAGGGTGGAGCCAGGAGGTGGCTGGTCTCTGCTCCCAAAGAACAAGCAATAGGACAAGAGGAAACAGCCTCAAGCTGCGCCAGGGGAGGTTTATACTGGATATTAAGGACAATTTCTTCCCCTAATGGTGGTCAGCCATTGGAACAGGCTGCCCAGGGCAGTGGTGGAATCACTGTTTCTGGAATTATTCACAAACCATGTAGACAAGACCCTGAGTGACTTGGTTTAGTGGTGGCCTTGGCAGTGCTGGGGCAACAGCTGGACTTGATGATCTTGAAGGTCTTTTCTAACCTGATTGATTCTATGATTAAAAAGAGTCTTATATTCAGTTGGCATTATCAAAAACACTGCGATGAGGCACCTGCACACAACTCCAACAGTGCTCATGCCAGCAACCCAATGCCTGCAGCTCCTTTATGATTTTTTTAAAAGAGAAGTCCAGTTGCATATCCTACTCATATCCTCATGATCATCATGGAAATTAACTACCTGCCAGTGACATCAGGCAGCAACTAAAGTCTACAACTGAATGTTTCAGTAGCATTTTTCTGTAAACAGAAATAATTTTACTTCCAGCAGTGGAGCCACCACTATGAAGTGGGCTATACACATCCTCAGTACAATCTGAAGAGGGGATGGATGATTGTTACAGTTAAGTCTGCCAACTACCCCATGCACACCTTGTTTAAGCACTTCAATACAACCCATATATCTGTGCTGGTGAAATGGGTCTTATATATGTCACTCAAAAATGAAGCACGGGAAAGACTAAGAAGCCAACTGAACGCTGGCTTAGACAATGCAGTGGAGTCAACAAAACTGAAAGAACACAGAGGCTTGAAATCTCTTTGACCGTCACAGCACATGCACTTCTACTCAATCCAAAGTGGAGATACAAACCCAATCTGGAATTCACTTGTTTAGACTGGCAGACCAAACCAAGGTAGAGTAGATGTGGCCCCTTATTTCTAAGGAGCTTATGAATGTAAAAAGGATTAGGTTTGCTGCTGTCTATGGAGGTGTACCTTTCACCATCATCCCCAGGAAGTAAAACGTGTCTCCAGAACAGACCTATTATGAAACCATGTAAAAGCCCAGCTGGCAGGAGTAATGCTAGCAAAAAAATCAAACAGGCTTGTGTCCCAGACCTACCTGGAAGGGTAGGTTCCACATCAGACCCTATCCTGTAACAAGGAAAGAAAAGGAAACAATTCTCTTTGCAGATGTACAGCCTATATGAAGGTCAAGGGGCTTTTTGCTCTCCTGCACAGAGTGCCTGGAAACTTCCTCTGCTGGAAATGCAAGTGAACTTATGTCCCTGCCCTTAGCAGAAGGGTTGGACTAGATGATCTTTGAAGGCTCCTTCCAACCCAAACCATTCTATGACATGTTGAAGCCAACATCTGTAATGTATCCTAATCAGCCTAAGTTAGGTGTAGCAAGTTCAAAGCAGCACTGAGACTACAACAATCCTCATTTCCTAATTCTGTATATCTTTCATTATTGATCCTGGGCTTTTTATTTTCAAGAACTGTAACAATACTGTACAGCTGTAACACAGTAAACCATACAAAGCTTTCCTTCCATGTATGAAGCAAAAGAAATAAAATCCCCAAACAATACAGTTGCTTATTCACCCTGAAGCAGAAACAGCAAGTTCATTTTGTTAGATAGGCATCAAATGAAAACTAAAAATCTCTTAACAACCCCAAATTACAAGGTCCTAAATTCAGTGATTGTCACTATATACCATGCACACTGACAGTCTCAAACTCACTGGGTGCCCTTCTCAGCTGAACCACTGCAGCAAAAGACTGGATCATTTGTTATTCTTGTACCAGAAAAGTTATAGCTTATAAATTACATTTATTATTTATTACATTTATTTTTTTACTTATAAGTACTTACTTCAGTGAAAGAGAATAGTCATGCTTGCTTGTTTGACTATTTCTTACAAGGTAGCTACACTCTTTACATAAACGTAAGAGGTTTTCTGCATCCGTCCGACTGATTGCTCCATGATACCATCTAGGAAAAAGCAGACAGATTAATACACACATTCCAACTCCTACTCCTTTCACTACTTCTTTTCTTTAAGGTATGAATAATGGTTATTATCGCATGGATATCTTCTAAATCCATATTATGAATAAAAAGCACATTGGTTGCATTATTTGTGATATATCAATATTTCAAATAATATACAAAATAACAAACAGAAATGAAACAAAGGCAAACAAAAAGAAAATTGCATCTGAAGAATACGAAAGTTAACAGTGGAAAACATTTGTGAAAATAAATCTTTGAGAAAGAAAAAAAATGATAAAGTGTGAAGATCTATAATGAAGACACTTATTCTAAACATAGCTGTGACAAATCAGAGCACTTTAAGTAAAACTCTGGGATGGATCTGTGGAGTGGGTGTGATCAATTCAGGGAAGAAAGGAACTGGGGAGAGAAGAGGTAGGTCCTTCACTAAACTGACCACTGCAAACAAAGAACCTCCTCAGCACATGCTGCTCTGCATCAGCAATAAAAATCTCACAGTCACAGTAGTGAACACTGACCCTTCTCTCAAGTTTCCAGAGCAGTGTAATGCGCCTGGTCCTGCACTGGGTCAGTCACATCTCTGAGGAAGATCTCTCCCTTCCTGCAGTTGCCAGATGCACTTTGAAGCACAGTGCGACACTATCATGCTTGCCTAAGCAGGATAATGCTTACATGAGGAATGGTTGCTACGTGTTATTACCAGGAACTGTCACTGGCCTTGGGCAAAAAGATTTTTTCCATTTATTGTAATTTTATTTATCTGCTAAACTTACTCTAAGGGAGATATTCCAACTAAAAGGTGAATAAAGACCAGACAGATCCCTTTGACAGAAGTCTTGCTCCTAACTACCTTGTGCTGATGCCAGCTCCATGCCAAATCTGATGAATGTGCTACACAAAAGTTGGTGCTCAAACTAAAAATTCATTGTGTGCCTGGCTACAACCACAGTTTTCATTGGAGAAAGCTAAAAAAGAGGTTTATAAATTTGTATATTCATGGCAGACTAGAAAGGGAGTGCCTGACAGTTCCATCACTTCACAAATAAAATTGAGACACATATGCAAATGTTTTCAGGGGCTGTTCTTCCTATCTCCCATGGGATATTTACTGTTGAAGGATATTTCTGAATGAGTAATTTAAATACTATGCTATCTTCTGAGTGTAAGGGAAGAATATTAACTCTAAATGTGAATCAGAAAATGGTTTTAGGACAGTCTAAAAATTATTCTCTTTATTTCCTATTTCTATATTTTTTCTGACCCAGCCAAAACCAGGGAGATACCCTGGACTCTGACATTTAGAAGGAATTATTTCATCTATTGTTCAGATCTGGTGCTTCTTAGTTGTCAGAGAGATTCACAGAAAAAGAATGCAGGACTGGTTTCAGTAAGCAAAATCTGGTTTTAAAACAAGTTGGAAGAAAAGCAGTGAAATATGAAGACAACTGCTGATGGAGAATATTTGATTCACAAGTGACCCATGGAAGTTGTTTTGGCTACAGCCAAGAGTAAAGAGCAGTAGCCACAAGCGTAATTGCTTGTGAATCATATGCCCATGTAAATGGAACACTGGGATTGCTCCAGCTAGGTATCAAGATAAGCATGGTGCGATAAAGTTCCTGACAAATCTGCTGTTTCAACTGTAGTGGGTTAGTTTGCCCTGGGTGCGCTTATTTTTTAAATGTTAACATACAGGTGTTTGTACAGATGGTCAAAGACAAAACAGTGAAATGACAGCTTCTGAAAGATACCAATGAAAAAGCATGAGGCATAAAAACCTGAAGACATACACGCCTTCTAATATATCCTGGAAAACAGGCACACAGTGCTAACCTGATACCAAAACTGAAAGCGTCCTGACTGTGGCTTATAGAACATTCTTCCTGATGTCCCTTTCTTTCTCAATAGCCAGGTTTCAGCTGCAGCTGAAGTGGCTGCAGCTCCACTGAAAACAGGACAGCTGCACCAATTATACAGTAAGTATAATAAATTATTACAGCTCATATAATGCACAACATTACTCTGTTTTTGAATTGGTCAGAGCAAAACAGGAAGTCATCAGGTCTTGTACATAACGCTGGGAGGGATTCACTTTCAAGAACACAACAGAAACAGCAGAATATACTTTCTTCTTTCCAGTGTTACTGAGGAGGTGGAACAAATTCATTCAACTCTCCTAGATCCAAGAGTTACTAAGTTCATAGTTACATTTTTCTTAATCACCAGTAAACAACTAAAAGTGTTTTCTTGGTATATTATTACACCTTGGTATTTTTCCCTGTTTGGGAAACTTACTAATCTACTTGCCTACTTGCATGCTCAGGAACAAAGTATTCTCACAAAAAGCACACCCCCATCAACACATGACTTCTTTGCCTTTCTGTGTGAATCCATTGGCTTCACAGTGCTCAGAAATATCAGTGTAACCTGTGCAAACTGGTCCACAAAAAGATTTTTTTTATTTTATTTGTGTAGCAGAGGATTCTGGCCCCTTCTGGCCCCTTTGGTATAACACGGTACAGCGGGTCATTCCATCACACAAGCCAATCTGTACAAGTGGTTCAAGGAAGGGTAATCATATGGCAGGACAGAGGACACCTTTGTGGATATCAGACATTCACAGGGATTGAATTCCCCCAGAACATGAGTCTGGAGCTGACAGAACTGCCTCTAAATACCACCCTCAAGCTTGACACCACCAGAGCTGAAATGCCTCTTTTCTGAAGACTTTGTAAGTGGTCTCATCAGTCTCTCTGTGGAGCAGTATTACAAACAGAAGCAAGGTACATCTGAGGCACCAGAAACATGCTATGCAGCCATAAAGATATGGAATCTGTGCAGCTTTAAAGCACAATTTGTATATAGGTGATACGCATCTGTTTTCCCTAATCGACACAGTTGAAAGTGGAATAATCACACATTCTTGGCAGACAAATTTCACTGTCCCTGAGATGAATTTCCTGCTTAAAAGTATTTTGTCTCCCACAGAAGTTAATCACATGATTAACAGGAATAGTTTTTTGCACTAACATGGGAAACTGAGGAGGGGGAACTAAACAGGAAGATCTGGGACACTTTCTGCTTCTGTAATTGGGGAGGCAAAGAGCTAGAGAGCAATTACTTACATCTGCTTTTCCAGTTGAATACTTGGATCTATTCTCTCTCCCAGGATCTCACAAAACTCTGGACTGCCATGTTTGATAGGTTTAAAGCCTCCTCCAGGTGCTCTTAACTGCCTGTGCTGGTCATTTGAGGGAGAAGGAGATGTTTGTCGTTTCTCACTTCCATTAAATTGGGCTGCAAGATACACAATAATTACCTCTCCAAGCATGGTTAACAAGGACCAGAATAGTTGTAGCACTTAGGTTTCACACTCCCCAGTGAGAATAAATGTTCACCCACAACCATCAGGATGTAGTGGTTTATCCACAAAATTATGTAAAGGTGTTTCTAACTATGCAAAATTCAGTCCTAAAACTCTTCTTCCTTTCCAACAGCAAAATCCACATTTTCCAACAGAAAAATCCACACTCTTCCAAACCTTATTACAATAACTAGGGCTTATCTTAGCATTTGATACTTTCCTCTCCAAGAGACCATACTGGTAAGCAAGTAATAGAAACAAAGATAGGCTCCTGCCCTAACTACAGTAACAAACAAGTGAGAACATCCGGAAAGCAGCTTGCCTCAGTAGAATCATCCTAATCATCCTAACTCATCTGACATCCACATCAGAAGTACTGGCAAGCAGCAATGAAGTAAAAGTGTATTCGCTTATACAAAATGGGCACAAAATTTTTGTTTTGAAACATTAGGGTACAAAGTGACAAAAAAGGAAAATAGCATTTATTAGTCTCTTTCACAAGCTATATTATTCCAAGAAAAAACAAAATAACCTATTTTCCAAATATGTAATTTTTAGAGCACTGCAACATCTATAGCAAAGCACAGACTAATGATGAAGCACTGGCACAGGTTGCCAAAAAAAGCCCTGGCTGCTCCATCCCTGGCAGTGCCAAGGCCAGGTTCGATGGGTCTTGGAGCAACCTGATCTAGAGGAAGGTGTCCCTGCCCGCAAACTGGGCGATCATAAGATACTTTCCAACCCAAATCATTCTGTGATTCTATGTGAGCATCCTCATTCTACACTTACTACACTTACAGATTCTACGTATCTATTTAATTTCAAAAAATTAAACACAGAATATTGACAGAAATGTGAAAGGAGCTACCTACACCATCTTCCTTATTTTCACTGCCTTCTATGGTTTGCTGCTTCATCAAAAACAAACGCTCTAAGCTGCAGATGAATCAGGAGGCAATCAACAAAATGTGTACAAACACACACAGTGCAATCAGCTCCCCTATGAGTTTCAAGACCTGTGAGCTTCAAGATCAGAGAAAATGGTACAAGGACAAGAGCATGTTGTAGATCTCATGCATTTACACAGCCACTTAGGCATGTGGCTGTAGTACTTATTGTTTTAAGGTGACATTATACCACAGGAAGATAGCTGTAATGTTCAGAAACATAATGCATACAAAATAGAGGTATGCTGGATGCCTTCCTTATGGGGCTTAGGACACTTCCAAATTTTCTATTCATAGAAAGTAGGCACACATTATTGCAAAAATTGGTGAATGTATTTCATCATATTCTAAAGTATGCATGGCAGAAATATACTTGTTATTTCTTAAAATGGTAACTCAGATTTAATCTCATTACCTGGGTAATGAAAGCTGATCAGTATAACAAGGAGAAATATTGCATGTGTGTAATTGCCAATGACATGTATGAACAGCACTATCATTTCAACTGTAAGAAAACCACCTGGATATAGTTTGTGAACTCTGTGAAAACTGGTGAACTTAATGTCAGCTTCTGACCAACCAACATCTTTCACACCAAAAAATTCAGTTCATAGGATAAACATGAAGCTCAGCTTTATAAACAGCAATACCTTTACAACGTGATGGTTAGAAGTAGGATCTGTTCTCCAAAAATAGCACAAAGTTAAATTTCAGATGCTTTTGAATGTTTTCTCTGACTGAATAGCTCAGGCATAATTCTGAATCTCTTGCCCATTCATGTATTTCTTTTTGGGGGGGTGGGGGGGGTGAGGAGGGGTGAGAAAGAATTAAATTGGCAGGAAGAAGGAGTCTGAAAGGGATATTCAGGCAGATTAAACTGACAAGTGTGATACCCAGTCAGGCACCAACCCAGGCAATGCTGTTACCAGGGCTGAGTATAGTCCCCTTTTATCCAAAGCTACAGTATATACAGTGAAGGTTCAGAAGCTTGGCTACATGCAGCGGAAAATATAAATTTTTTCACTGCTGTAGTACTCCTGTTTATATAGCCATTGCAGTTATAGAACTGAGTGCATACCTGACGCTTTTTCACAGTTCACATGGCCTCTCTTCCCCCACCATGTAGCTGGTGCCATGCTCCTCTGTTGATGGACTCATGCCAGAAATTCTCTGCTTCAAGTGCCCAGGTCCTAGGCTTTCTGTACAACAGCAATTGTCAAGGAGCTCATGATCAGCACTGAAAACTACTACCACATGGCCCTCTTTGTAACAGAGGCTCACTTATTTTGTAAAGCAATACCCAAGACAGGATTTACAGATTTTACATGCATTTGCTTTACCCAAAGGTTTGCTGTCCCATATGACAACCTGGAAAGGCCTCATTGGCTCATTTGGGAACCAGCATCAACCTGACATTCCTGAACTGGGCTTTCCCTTCCCAGGCAGACTGATGTACCACAAAACTACTTCATTCATGTTACTTTGCCAGCTTCAGCTCTTCTAGGCAAACTAGTTTGCCTGGCTCAGCAAGAGGTCTAACAAGACCTGCCCAATTCTCATAAAAGCCAGCAAAACCACATTTCAGCTTCAGCTGTACAGCCTCCAAGGAAATAAAACCAAATTTGTTTGTTAAAGAATTCAAGCTTCAGACAGTCAAAATGCTGCACTCCAGCTTTGCTACACAGAAATCTTCAGCACTATAGTTAACAGCAGAAGTCCCTGGGGAAGGCTGTACATAGCTTGCTCCACAATGTCAGCATGATGCCAGCCACAGTGCTCAGGAGCCACAGAGAAGACACGCTGCCCTCTATGGTCTTTTTTTTTTTATTCAGTCCAAAGGCTTTGCTTACCCTCTCATCTTCAAACAAAATATTCTTTGTTCTCAAGTAGCTTTAACCCCAAATTGTCCAAGAACACACACGAGAATGGCTGAACACGCCTCCAGCCAAGCAAACACTGGACAGATTGGCAAAAAATAACTGGAAACATTTCAGCTGACACAGTCAGCAAGAACTAACTGTTCAGTCTCTTTGCAGTTCTTCAACTGTAATCTGTAGTCACGGTAGCCCAGACATTCCCATGTCATCTGGCCTAGCCCGAAGGTCTAGAAGAATGGGTATGAATAAGGAAGCACAACATCCTTCTTCTCTGTGGGCAGAAATGCACACACAGCTAACACAAAAGGGTCTTGGGTGATAGGGAGTAGGTGTCTGAAGGTGGGAGAAATCTCAAGGAGCTGTAAGAAGGTAATAGAGTGGCAACAAGTGTCAGCTAGAAAGACAAATGAGACTAAACACAGATGCAATTCTGTGGGACATAAGAGAGGGTAAAAGATGACCACAAACAAAAGAAAGATGGACAAGAGCAGATGCGGCAGAGGGAAAATGGTGAAAACTCTCCAGAATCTGGAATGGAGAATAGAGAAATTCCCTGGAAAAAAATGTGGAGAGCAGCCCAAGACCCACTGCAAATACACTGACTGTGGCTCTGCACAGCCCCTATGTGTGCTCTGAGTAACTTTTTGATCCTTCCAGGTAGCAGACACCCTATCTCTACAATAGAGTTACTGTTGACTACGTTGATGCATATTAAGGCTTATCTTTCAGGAGCTGGAGGCTTCACATATGCCTTCACTAAGGCAGAGGCAGCATTGCTGCCATCCTAGGGACACATGAAAAGGCTTGGAAATGTGTACTGAACTGGGGCAGACATCAGTGCTATAGCATAAACCCAAAGCAGAAGGCTTTACACACATACACCAGACTGATAATCAGCATCTGCAAAAAAATTATGGCATTGGAAACCTAGTGATACATGTCCCTGATTAGCCTATCTTGACACACAACAGATTATCCCAAATCATAGCAAGGATGTTACAGCCAGGCAATCTCCCAGCACAAGTCCAGCAAAGGGGCTGAGTGAGCTCTGGCAAGCCTAAGCCAAAGCCTGCTTCCACCAGGCAGAGCTCAGCAGCAGAACTTTGTAACACACTAGAAGACAAACAAGCAGGTTAGACTTCTGTATTAGAGTTCATGCTCTTTAGGGAAAGAGACTACTTTACCAGCACAGCATCCAATAGAACTGGATGCTGGTTTAATTCCAGCCTTGAAAGAACTATCACCATATGCTTAATGGGAAAGTGTCTGAGCCTGGAACTCTGCAAAATTATTAACAGCTCGCATGCCAGAGGAAATCATGCTGCTAGAAAGCAGAAATCATTTTTTTCTAACCTTCTCTTCTGTTCCATAGGAGCCCAACAATGGGAAAGGGAATGCTGAACAAGAAGTTTCTTTTTAAGCAGCTGCTTTAGTTTCATCCTTTTGTCTTTCCCACCCACATTTCACCGGATGGATACTGCAGATATCAGCTTGGCTTGGCAACAAACCCAAATCAACCACAACCTGAAGTTGTAAGAGCAAACGAAGCAGAGAGGCAGAATCAGTCTCACAATAGATCGCCACACCACTACTCCACTGTGCTAATAAAGAACCACATTTCTGTCGTCCACATCCACCTACCCATTAGGGGAACAGGTCAGAAACGCTCAAAAAGGGTACAGTCATAAGAAACTCAGTTCACAGAACAGTGGCCCTTTGTAGCTGTGGAGAGAAGTCAGTTTTCATTTCTGCAGTGTGGCAATATCATGGCACATGGAACTGCAAAATCATGGAATAACTCAAGTGGAAAGGCACTGTGGCAGGTGTCGAACCCAACCTGCTCCAGGCAGGGTCTGCTATGTGATCACATCAGGTTGTTCCAAACTTTATCCAGTCCTCCCTCCACACAGGATGAAAAAATCTGAAGATGGAGACTGTAAGGACTTCCTGGGTAATTTGTTCCAACGCTTGACTGTCCTTGCAGATGAAAAAAACTTTCCAGTATTGAGTCAGAACCTCTCCTGATTCAACATGTCTCATTTTCCCATCACACCTGCTCATTTGTGAAGAATATGGCTCCACTTTCTCAAAGTTCTTCTCATAGGCATTGGAAAGCTGATACTACATACACTCAAAACTTTCTCTTCTACAGGCTAAGCAAGTCCAGTTCTCACCACACATTTAGTCCCTTTTCCCCCAGGACTCTTTAACCCCTAGTAGCAAAGCTGGAACCCAGCAAGACAGCCAGTCTTCAGTCCGTATCATCGCAGGGAGTTTGTCCTGGTTGCATTTTATAGGCTTGTTGTCAGCCCATTTCTCCAGCCTGTCCAGGTTCCTCTGAATGACAGCTCTGCACACACACCCCCTCCCCATTTGATATCATTCCAAACTTGATGAGGCACATTCCCTCTCCTCATCCTCCAGGTTACTGATAAAGATGCTAAACAGGAAGAGTTCCAGAAGAGATCCCCTGAAGAATCGTACTTCTAACCAAACTCTGGGAAGAATATGAATCATTAAGCACTACCCTTTGAGGTCAGTGACACTGACAGGTTTTCATGCATCTAGTAGTCCACCTTTCTAGGCTACAGCATTTCAAACCAGCTAGCACAGCTGATGCTACAGCACAGCATGCTGCAGGCTGAAGTTCGACATAGACGATACTTACTACTCTCTTTCTATTAACATATCTAGCAGTTTCAATGCAGAAAGCAAGCAGGAATTACCCAGGGCAAATGCATGCTGACTACTAATCACTGCTCTCAGGATTCTTCCCATGCTCCCTCCCAGAATCACATTTCTTCCCTCCTCATCCCCACAACCATCACCACATACAACTTTCCTTTCCAAGCTTTCTGCCAAGCTAACTCCTAAAAACGATGGGGAACAACCTTGATCCTAGACACAGCTTTTCACAAGAATATACTACTGAGGAGAAAATCATTGAGCATGTATGACTCTAGCACCCTACAAGAGCACCCTGGAACATAGTCAGACTAACTGATACAGCTGGGCTTTGCTGGGCATATAAAGGCTGTTTGACAGAAAAAGCCCCAGAATCACATATTCACTGAACGAAGCCCCCCATAACCATTCCTGCAAAGCAACAAAAGGAAAAACAAATAAAAGAAAGAAGAGCAGTTTAACCAACACCAAGCACAGACATTAACAGAGACAGAAAACATTTTTTGTCATATATCCCTGACTGACAAGTTCTGATATGGGAGAACTTCAGCAGTTCAAAGGGATTAATCCAAAACCAAGTTCTACATTAAATCATAGAATCATTTGAGTTGGAAAAGACCTTTAAGACCATCCAGTCCAACCATTAATCTAGTATATCCAAAGAAATACTTGCAATTGTAACAAAATGCTCCAAATACCAAGAAACTCATCACTGAGTAAAAGTATGTTACTGCATGCACGTTACTCCACTATTTTTTTGTCCTGTCCCTTTAAGAAGTGCCCCACAATTTAAGGATTTTGGAAAGCAACTCCCTTGTCTCAGAGCCACTGAAGAATGAACACTATATATCACATCCATTAAAATGGGGGTAGGGGCAAGGAGTGCTGACGTGATTGACAACAGGTCAGTTGAAGAACTATACAAAAGGTCCACATTTCTGCAACAGGTAAAGAATTGAGACTACCCACATTTCCTTTCCAGCAACCTACACATACATACACACACACACACACACACACACACACACACACACACACACACACACACTAGAAGAGCAGAAACACTTTAATTCTCCCAAGGCAAGTACATATACTATGAGTGAAGGAAAGAACTTCCTGGTTAGGATCTAGGAATCCTACCTGCCAGAGCTGGGATGGTGACTTTGTTCCACTCCCATGGCTGATCATATTCATCTGCAGGCCTGTCATCATCCTGTGGCAATTTGCTTTCTCGTAAACGGTGACTCACCACACTTTCAGAATCGGATTCCACACCACTGCCTTCTGGTTCATAGGGTGTGTCATAGAGCTGCATGTTTTTTTGATGGGACTTCATGCCTTCCTGCTTCTGAAACTCTGTTGGCAAGAAAGAAAATTGCATCAACATCACTGCTAACCATGCCTTATCATTACAGTCAGTAATTCTAGAGCATTCAACTTCCATCCAGTCCTTAACAGCCACATAATTATACAGATGGCAAGCTTGCACAAGACTCTAAACTGTACATTTGGTAACTGTCTGGAAGCAAGTTTTCTCTGGCTAACAACTGTAGCACACACAGTACCATGCCTCCACCAACTTTCCCTAGCTTGCATAGAGACAGATTACAGGAAGCACACCATCCCTGACAGTGTGGGTAAAGCACACTTACAAGGAGCTGTGATCTGAATCTGCAGAACAGAAATTTGTGTATGCAGTTAGATCCTTCATGGGTGAAATGTGAAGATATAAAGTTCACAAATAAATAAATACCACAGTACAATATCCTAATAAAAAATTCTTTGCAGTTACCTCTACAGAATATCAGCAAAAAACTACTAGGACTAGAGTAAGAACAGAATACCAGCAGCAAATAAGCTAGAACTAGAGTAAGAACACTAAACAAAAGCACTGGTAACTAGACCTTAGCTCACATTGTATTAAAAAACATGTATTTCTGTAAACTAACACTGGTCTTATAAAAAATAAACATGTTGAAACTTCATTAAAGAAACAATATACTGCCCTCATGAATACAGCAAACCAGAAATAGGGTTTTGTAAGGGAAAGCACAGCTAGCAAATCAAGGGGCAAGCTGTCAGGCCTTCACGCTGGCCCCAAGGAGACCACACCCTCGCAGTAGGATCCTACCAAGAGCTGGGTCCTATCCCTGACTGGTCTGTGCACTCCCTAAAAGTAGGAGCAAGCTAGTTCATAGAACTGGAAAGAAGCCAGTGCAAAGCTACCAAGAGAGCAAAGTCCAAGGGTCTATGAGAAGAAGAGACGGTTTTATTACTCTGGTAAGGAGAAGGCCAAGAGGGGGATGTGACAGCAGCTCTCAGCTGCCTGTGGAGCAGTCAGAGCCCTTCTTGTGCAGTGTTAGAAGATGCCATAAGGAGAAACAGATCTAAGATGTAGCTTGAGAGATCCAAGTGGAACATTTGGGGAACCTTCTTCCACTGGTCTGTAGCACAACCCTAGGATAGGTCATCATGTAGGTCATGGGAGGAGTCTCCATTCTTTGGAGTTTGCAGAGCCTTGGCTAGACAAACCCAGGGTCACTCCATCTACTGACAAAACTGGACAGAGTGGATGACAGACCAGATGGCTGTGCCCTCATCTAGAAGGACCTGGAGATACTGGAAAATTGCTAACTGGCTGAAAAGCAGCTCAGCAGAGAACTTTGGGGTCCTCTATGACAGCAAGTTGAACATGAGCCAGCAATCCACCCTTAAGGTAAAGAGGGCCTGTATTAACCTGGGCTGCATTAGGGTAAATGTTGAAAGCAGGTCAAGGAAGGTGATTCTTCCCTTCTGCTCAGCACTGCTGAGGACACATCAGGACTGTTCTCACCTCCCCAGTGCAAGACAGGCATAGACATACTGGAGCAAGTGCAGCAAAGGTCTATGAATCTGATATATGACTGGAGCATTTTTCTTATGAGGAGAGCCTGAGAACTCAGACTGGTCAGCCTGGAGAGGTAAGTTTCAGTGAGGACCTTGTCAATATAAATACCCAATGGCAGAGAGAGAAGATGGATGGCAAAGCCAAGTGACAGGACAAAAAGCAAATCAAAGTACATGAAATTCCATCTGAACACAAGAAAACACCTTTTTGCTGCAATAATGGTCAAACACTGAAACAGGTTGCCTGGAGAGTTTCCATATGTGGAGATATGCAAGACTTGACTGAATGTGGTCATGGGCAACCTGTTTCAGCTGACTTATTAGATGGTATCACAGGGAGAAGGAAGGCAGCTTTTAACACACAAACCTAAGTAAAGATTTAGAGCTGTTCTTTTCATTCCTGTGACAAAATTCATTCATCAATTCATCTATCAGCATGAATATTACAACCAAGTAATTTCTAATTCCTCCAAACCATTTCAAAAGTACTGTGAAATGTCTACAATATTGAAAACAATATGAAAGAGTACCCTTATTATTTGGAAAAAAATAAAAAGCTTATACAGTACAAATACAGTAAACTTTACGCAATATACACCAAAATCAATGGTGTAAATTCAAGCAAGATAGGTCATGATAATGCCTAGTTATGAATGACAACCACATTACCACCTTTCAATACAAGCAAAACCTAGAAAATGGCAACTTATTTGAAAAAAAGTGCTTTAAAGCTTTTTAATTAAAACACAATCTTTGTCTTTCACCTATCTTTTGAAATGAATTTTGCTCAAGGAAAAATCATGCATTAAGAAAAACCTGTATTAGAAATGATACACAGCCAAGACTCTCTTGTATAAATTCTCCGGGATAAAAAAGATATTTTTCTTTTTCTTTTAAAGTCAAAAACATTGTATGTATCTGATTTTCAGTACTGTGAAGCCAGCCACTGATACAACAGGAAATCTGCATTTCTGAGGAAGAAAAGCCACAGTCCTACTAAATCAGAGACTTTACAGAAAGGACCAAAGCACCAGACCACACAGGAAAAACTACCCGTAAATAGAAGGTGGTATGCTACTGATTCATAATTCATGCTCAATTAGAAAAACTAAAAATATTTGATCCTAAAGCAGAAAAGTTTCTCTAGGCAAAACTAAAACCTAGGGAGAGCAAAGAAGTGGAAGCAGGAGAATATATCTACATGCATATATAAAAATATATGTCTGCATACATATGCACACTTACACATACTTACACACAGCCTTTTTTGCAAAGCTTCCTATAAATTTGCTTGAAACTCCATTTTTTTTACTTAATACATTGGAAGAGTATTTGTAAAATTTAATTTTAATAGAAGTAAAAACACCAATAGTTGCTGTCAGTAACAGAGAGCAATGCTCAATCTGCACCACAAGCGTTATACACAGATAGTTCAATGCAGACTTGATATCTGAGAATTAGATAATTGAAAACAACAGAACATTTGTGATGAAGCATTTCTCATGGTTTTCATGCAATCTCTAATCAACGACAGCTCTAAGTGCTGAAATAGTCTGGAATGGCCAGTGAGCCCAAAACTGTGATAATTTCACTTTTTTTTTTTTTTATTTTTCATTTTTATTAATTGTATCTTTTGAATTCTTACCGCTGACACAGAAGAGTACATGTTTATGTATTTTATACATATAGAGTTATGCCCAATAAATTATTTAGCTACTAGAAGAAATAACTAAGGTTTTGAAGTAACTTTTTTTGCTCGCTGGCTGAAAGACCCTCACAAATAATTCTTATTCTTACAGATTAGCAGTTATAACAGAATCAGGCTCCAGTGTAAAACCAAGAACCTGACAAGCAAGGTACAGAAACTGAGACATCTGGGAACACAAGATTATAAGGTACAAGACTGAATTTGATATTCTTCTTCCTCTTTGATGAACAATTCTGACAAACATGTACAGAACCGAAAAAGCTCCACAGGGGAGCAGTTAACCTCATGATAACTTTCCAGCAACCACACTAAACCTCTTAATAGTCTTAAATAATTCAGCAGCATTACTCATAGATGCACTGTATTACTCAGTGGAATTAGGGAAGGTGCCAAGAAAACAGAACACCTAAAAAGCCAACAAAGGAAATTCTGAAGACAGTAACATTTGCTTATAGAACCCAGCAGGTGAGCTTCTACAGCTTTCCTTCCAAGAGGAAGCAAGGCAACAAAACAACCTGATTCTTCTACAGCATACAGATGCCAAGAGATATTTCCTTCATCTCAAACTAAAGCATGCAGTAACAAGAGGTCAAACAAGGTAATTTCACTCTTAAAAAAAAATCCTGTTTTCCCAAATCAAGAATGCCCGTAAGTTTCATAAGGCAGTAATAAACTTAATGCTATTTTACAGCCCTTTTACAACATTTCTTTGGATGAAATATGATACAAGCAACATGTAGGAGTCCTGCAACAATTGTGTAGGGAATTTCAGATACAGAAAGATTCTCTCAAGTTAAGTACGTGTAACATATTTTGTTTTCCTGTCTGGTGAAAGACAGTGAGCTATAAACTTTGTTGGGCAAGTTGGGAAGTAAAGGCAGGCTCCTGCGTCACAGTAGAAACACATCTTGCTTGCCTATATCCAACATGCAGAAAGAGTCTTAGCCTGCAAGAGACAAAGCACTAAGTCATATAAATCCCTTGATTTTTATAACCTCCTGTGTTCTACTGGAAAAGCTTTTAAACATTTTACCTGCAAGGAGTTCACAGCATCTGTGGTAACACAGGCATATTAGTTTCTTTAGCACTTGAACAGCAACCAGTAATTTATGCATGTTCCACTGAGAAATAGATTTATAATGTAATTAGATACAGACACATTAACTAACCAAGCGTAGCACAATAAAGCTGTTTTGTCAGATTCCAAAGTGTACTGACCCACACATACCAGCTGTGGTATGCAACTCTGATAAAACAGACCCATCTCCACTTCAGCTACAGATTCCAGGGCTGGTGCAGGATTTAAAATAATAGTCCTACTACCTCCTCTATTGCTTTCCCTACCAACAAACCCTATCCTAGTGAGACAAATCTGACTACGAAGGTAACATGCTGGAAACAGTACTGACATGTAACACCAGCTTTTGAAAACCTAGCATTTATAGAAGCCCCTGAATGAAAGTACAATGATTCTTCAAGGTCATTTGTGCATGCACTTAACTTTGTTCCTTTCTGAAGGAAGCCCAGCACATTGTTCAGTCATTTAACATGTTAACATGTAAACACAGTGCTGGAATAGGATTGTACAAAGCACAGCTGTCAGCTTTAAGAATTTATGCAGGTCTCATACAGATGGCTGTTGCTTCACTAATGTCCTCTTCCCAGAGGTCAGCTCATTTAAACAGCTTCAATCCTAGTAACCTGGATTTATTTTCCTACTAACTACAAGAAAAATGCAGCCTCCTATCAACTACACAATATG